TACAGGGAGAAGTTGATTGACGTGACGGACCGATGCTGCAGACTGTACGTCGACTTGGTATATGACGATAACCATGCGGCGTTTGATGTAACCACGAGTCTATTTTCCTCCACGGCTGCGATAGTCCCTATCCAAAACCGAATAATCGGGCTTATAGATGGGGTGATGGTGGTTGAACTTTCGCTCCATATGTGTGTTCCTTGTTTGTGGATTCAGGGGAGATGGCCGTACTACATCTATGGGTAAACGGATTTTACGCCCAAAAAGCGCTTCCGCTGATGAGTTATTGTTTGGCACATTTGGGTTGTTTCACGGGAGCTTAACAAGAAGGTTTCGATAATATCCACTGATGTTCCATCCCATTTGAGTCTTTGGAGTGCTCGTTTGAAAGTCTCGACAAGGCATTTGGCTTGACCGTTAGATTGTGGATGGAATGGCGAGGATCTAGCGTGGTGAATGTTATTATGCTTGCAAAACAAGAAAACTTACGCCGAGGTGAATACACTGCCATTATCTGAAATCAATGTTTCCGGCGTACCGAAGCGACTGAAGATGCGGGTAAGCTGCAAGATTGTGGAGCGAGAAGTGCAGTGATCCATCATGACTATCTCCGGCCATTTACCGTAAGCGTCAACCATGATAAGATAATGCTGTAGCAGCTGAGATAATCTGGCGTTATTTTGCACAGATGAATCAATTATCAGGATAAACAGATTCTTGGGAATCAAGCTGGATTTCGCCCTTGTGGAGTACTCACGGGCCATAACTCTCTTGAACACCGCTACTTCGAAGTTCCCACGTTGGGTTCTTTTTATAGATTTGAAAGTTGCTTTTGACTCTGTCGACCGTGGGGAATTCTGCCAGTGCTTTTAATTAAGAAGGATCTTTTTTAAGTTTTTATTCCTTCTGAGGGTACTGTATGCGAATTCATGTGGGCCCGCACATGTACACAGGATTTTTTGCCTGATTTCATCTCATTCCGACAGTTGCTCATTCCGCCTATACTTTCGTGTTGATGTGCTGCTTGAAACTGCTCTGCCTGCTTCTGAAACCCCGGGGGTCGAAATGTTCTCTCACAGAAATTTAGTATACGGACGATATTTCCCTATCTCAAAAGTGCAATCTATTTAAAATAATGTGTCTAATTTCGCGGCACGCTTTGGCACGAGCTTTACACTTGTAAAGTGTGAAGTGCTACTACAAGGCTTGATGGGATCAAACCCAAACCTCATACGTGCAGATCAATCAATCGACGTGGTCGGTAAATTTATTTACCTCATTAGTTGTATGAGCTCTGATGGGTTGGCTGGAGGCGAGATCAGTTTTCGAACCGGAAAGTCCATGACAGCTTTTGCCAACCTCCGATACATGTGGCGCCGTTATGACTTCACTCTGTCTATCAGGGGCAGAGTTTACTCCATGGTCATGCGATCTACACTGCTCTATGGATCAGAAATATGACACCTATGTGCAGAGGACAAATGAAGCCTGAGTGTTTATCCATCGATGTCTTCGAAGTATCAGTGCAGTCAGGTGGGGACATCAGATTAGCAATGTCGGGATAGCCCAAATGATTTTGCTAGGAAAAGAAACCGTCCAGCTGTAGCACCCTGTTGGTGCCTAGCTGCCGTGCCACACGAAGGAGGCACGAGGGCAGGGATACTACCACACGGAGGAGCACGAGGGCAGGGAAACTACCAGGTCGCCCAAGCCTAGATAGGGGGAGTCGAAAGGCAGAGGTCGGGTTCGAACCACGGCCCCTCCGGTCAGTAAATTCGCGCTCTAAACACTTAGTCCAACTCGCCATGGTCTGTGACCTGGCAACGAAGTATGAAAATGCTAACCAGAAACTGAGTCGGGTTGAAAGCTTCCGCCTCCGTGGATAGGAACCCCAGGACTCAACTCACAAATGGTTAATGGCACTGGTGAACATGGCTCAATCAAGCTTTCAGTTGCTCTTGTGCATCGAAGTTATCGCCTTCCAATGCGTAGCCACCTAGTCCCCGAGCTAACTGAACATGGCATGGCCTCCAATGCTCGGCTCTCCCAGTTTCCACAGCTGGAACCAATATACCCATGACATGTGGTTTGTAGCTGAATTGAGTAGTTAACACTGGCTTACGCGTCGTTCTATTCAGTTGCACAAGGTTTCGCACTGGTTGCTGATGTTTTCTACTTCTACACCAAAAAACTAGCTTTGTTTCTGCCAAAGACAGTTTTTATGGAGAAAAACCACTATGTTGTCCGCCACGGAGTGTTCAAAATAGTCTTGATCGCTGGAGAATCCATTGTCTGTGAGGACGTCTCTATTCACGTGAGCCACAACTTGATGTCTTGTTTAGTGCGCAATGCTAGTGGGAAACGCGTTTTGAATCTTTGCACTTACCCCTGAATTTGGCTCAGTGGACACTGTCGTGCTGTCTGGCGTCTCCCTACTACTCAGCAATCATGGAGCCAAATCGATTATCTAACCATCGGCAGTGAAGCATCAGTGCCAACACTGATGTTGCTCCCTTTGGTGATGATGATCTTTGGCAAGGCTCAGTGCTCGGCTGAAGACCACTCAAGTATACCATTCTGGTCCAGACCTGGAAGCTGTGCAGGCTGATCCGGAAAACAAGACCAGGGCCCCTACTTGTGAGGCACTCGTGCATCACGCTGTTGAACATTGTCACAAACAATTCAGCTGAATCACTCACTATTATCGCCTTAATGTGAAGCTGAATGCTTATTTTTTGATTCGAGATTTCAGGTGAAGAATGTTTTCAGTTAATTTGACACGCTCCTTTAGAAAAAAGTCATCCAATGATAATTCTGGGTGTTTCGTACGTCACTACTTCTTTCCAATACTAACGACTGATCTACCTGAGAAAACATTGCCAGAAGAATGTCGAAAGCCAATGCAATATGGAGCATCATGATTTTGAGACTTGATGGCATCTCGTTCATTCGACTTAGTTTTTTGAAGCTGTGGTATCTGTTTCTAGGTACCCCCAAAGACATTGATTTTAACTTAAGCAGGTTTCGCCTGCAAAAGTATTTTCTTACAAAAAGTACGGTGTGCATCCAGTTCAGCTACTTATACCCTAAGCTTCGGGTTGAAATAGCTACAATAAGTTGAAATTTGTCCTTGATTTCACGCTTCTTAGCACATCTCGTTTTTACCTTCGAATTAAAGTTGATTTATCACTAAATATCATCGCGCAGGGGCTTGAGCTGAACTTAAATTATCCATCAAATTTTGATCACTTCTCCCTGTGAAGCCCGCAACTGCCATCTTATGAAGCTCTATAGATTGCAATCCTATCCTGAACATAAGTGATCTGTGTTCTAGGATGAGATCACCTCAACCCCACCTCCGATTAGCTGGAGATGTTGCAATAAATGGCGGTTAACCGATATCAGTTGTTTTCGGGTTGTCAATATATCTGCGGATTTCGGCACCTCAGGATGCTTGGGATAGGCTGGTGTCAGATCCCGTTCCCATCCATCCTTTTCTTTTTTACCCTGGACTTCATGTATGAATTCAATTTTGTGGTTGTACGGCAATGAACCATTAGTATCAGCACTGGTTTTGATGTTCTGATGATGGTCACAGTCATCTTAGGCTTTCCGCGGAATTTCAGTGGTAGTTGTCTGGGATCGACGAGGTATTCGATCGGCGGGGCAGTCTGCAGTGCACAACTTGCCTGCTAATGTATCTATGGATATTTTAGTCTGGGAATCACTGGATCACTCTACAGTTTTGCTGCGCTTGCGGCGTCATTACCAGATCCGTCTGCTAACAACAAGGTCTACACGATCAAGTAATGTGAGCAGGCGGTGGTCATTGAATTCTTTTTCCAGATTAGGCTAGTAAAAACAAATCAATGAAGTTGACAAAGCCAAGCAAACAACTCTGGAAACCTTGACGCCACAAAAAGGAGTTTTGAACTACAAATACAGACGCAAATCGATTTGGTTTTCGCGATAGACTCAAGCGAATCTCTCGTTTATGATGTTCTTCAACTGAATGTGCCGCTCAAAGACTGCCTCACGTTTCAGTTGGTACGATATTCGAGATGTCGCAGTATACTTTCATAAAGGGAACTACTCACAAGGTTGCTGAAAACTGTTCGACAGCTCACGACCGGTTTCGCCTTTCTTGGGGCTCATCAGGTAAGGACGATATCTCGAATATCGTACCAACGGAAACATGAAGCGGCCTTTGTGAAGCACATTCAGTTGAAGGATGACATGAACGGGACATTCACTTGAGTCTTCCAAGGAAACCAAACTGATTAACAAATGAGCATATTTGTCAAAATCAATCCAGTTTGGATTCTAGTAGAACATAAGGTTGACGGAAAATCCGGGACTGCGCCTACCTGATGAGTCCCAAGAAGGGCGAATCCGCTCGTGGGCTGTCTAACACTTTTCAGCAACCTTGTTAGTAGCTTCGTTCATGAGTTCCAAACTACTTAACACTTTTCAGCAGCCTTGTGAGTAGCTTCGTTCATGAGTTCCAAACTACTTCAGAGGACCGAGTCCCATTCACAATGAGCGTTCAGCTGTAGCACCCTTCCGGTGCCTAGCTGCCATGCCACCCGAAGGAAGCACGAGGGCTGGGATACTGCCAGGCTGCCCAAACCTAGACAGGGGAAGTCGAGTGGCGGAGGTCGGATGCGAACCACGGACCTTCGGGTTAGTAAATTCGCGCTCTAACCACTTGGGCCATCTCACAATGAACTTGTGCGATTTCGCCACTGGTCTGTCTCATTATTACTCTTCGTAAAATGACTACTAGGAAAGCTGTGTTCACGCCTACGGTTGGTACTCGTTGTCTCTGATGCTTACTTGTTTCAGCAGACAACTGCTGTAAGCTAGAGTTAATCCAAAGGACTTTAATTTGGGCGACAGTGATGGTCGCCAGTCGGAATTTAAGACGGGAGTTAGTTTTGAGTAGATTTCTTTCGAGTCCCAGAAATATGTGGAGTTATTTAGTTATGGGCCCATGTAGAACAGTGTACTGGTCTACATTATTCTATTGCTTCGGTTCGTTCATCTACAATTTACCATTCTTTGCAGGTGATATACCAGAAATGTGGCCTTAACTCTTGTTACTAAAGTATAATAGACTCTTCAAAGGTACTCCAACATGTGCGATGTTCTACCTGCTGACACGTTGGAAACTACCCACAGGTTCACCACCAGTATGCAGGAGAAGGGGCCTGATTCTCCTATGGAGGCGACACGGACTGCACCGATCATTTTCCACTGTGGTGACTCGGATGAATATGAAGAACTGGATCCTGATGAGCCTGACAAGCGACGATGTCAAGAATCGTCAACAAACCAACCATGCACCCAACGAAGGTCCGAGGATATGAGGACGCGCAAGTTCTCAGTACCTGCTTTGGTCAATGTTGATGAGGCGGTGCTACACTCTTCTGATCAGAAACTGTGCACATCCGTAAGTTACCATACGAACTTAGTCGTTCATCAGGCTGCTCCATCTCTAATGCCCTTGAACGTAGCACTTTGTTGCAGATTATGTAGGAATCTCGTGCACACTCCTACTTGATTGCTTAATCTACCTGCGCTTACTTTTTGAGCCCATATTTGCTGCTCAGAGATACCAGCTGACGCTGTGCGTGTATTTTTGAGTGGCATCCATTAAAGTGCAGAGGGATACACGAGAAACGTGGCTTTTAGGCTTTCCCCATATTACCCGAAGAACTTGTGATCTTCATTTCGAGACAATGATATGTTCTCATTTTTCGGCGAACAATGCCGTAGCTACATTATCGTCTTGCTTGTCCTCTTTGAACTAGATCAGGCTGAATGCAGATTCTAGGTATCTGAAGCTGCCGTCCTGAATAGTGCCACCACCCCATTCCAAGCCTGTGGATTAGGTTACCAGTGAACACTGAACAAATCATTTCAATACAATGAATGTTCGGTTCCCTGACAGTTAGCTCACTTTACAGCGGCTGAATGCTGGTGCTCACTCGACTCATTGCTATCTGTCTTCGTCTTCTCCCTTGATGTTGTTTCCAATGGTGACCCACATCTCCTGAGCCAGTGACTCTCGGTCCTCGAGTTGTTCTCCACTAGGCTACCGTTGTTTAGGAATGTATTTCGCACTCACACTATTTTGTCTTTTACCCAATTATCTTTAATGGATTCGTCCTAATTCATTGTTTGTCTTGTTTTTCTGTTAGCTTATTCGGTACCGGAATTAGACAATATTATCTTTTTTCTCACCTCTCCTCACAATGTTAACGAAGTGTCTGAACTACCATACTGCCAGTGCATCAACAATGAAATATAGTCTCTTGCGGATTCGACCAGTCATGTCAGCAAAGACAGATTTCTCACTGCTTGCCAAAAAAACAGCCAGTTAGTCAGTTTTTAACGTGATTTTTAAATACATTCATTCATAAAATGGTCACGTTTGAACTAGAGGCGTGGTTGAAAAACGCTTACGACAGATTATTCGAAACAGAAAGTTGGTGTGCGAGTGGGAATCGTGGACAACAAGAGCACGCACCTAAGACAGGTGAGATCCAGTCCGCATCTATGTACCTAATGCTGTCACATGATTAGCATCACAGATAGGTCGTGTGATGAAAACGTGACAAATATGCCTAACTCCGGTCACTAGTGTCGTTTGCTATATATCATTCAATGTCTATCCTTTGATTAGCCAGTAGATGGTACTCTCTCCTAGAAAGGATATCGTATGACAGCGTGTTTCTGGTAACGGTGTTTTTGTTAGAAGCCCACCACTGCTTCTGCACTGTCGACAGCAGATCAATGTCCTTGATCGTTAGAAACGATGCGCAGATACATCCTCATAGGAGTTAACCGCAGTAAAGACACAATGAGGCTGAAAGCCGTTTAAACTGGCCTGTCGCTCTCTACTAAAAGAAAATATTCACAGAGTTTGCGTAAATTGACCACGGGACGTTTGATTATTCTGGTCAGAAGAGAAGGGCAAAACCTACCGTCCACTTACATGTTACAGTGATTAGTCCGGGCAGTAGTGTGTTACGTTCATACAATACCTTGCGATACTGGTGTATCGTACCAACTGAAAAATAGGGCGCCCGGGTACAGCACTTTCAGTTGAAGAACGTCATGAACGGGGGCTTTAGTTTAGTCTCCCGTGGAAGCCGGGTTGCTACGCAAATGAATGTATTTTGCCGATTTCATGCAGTTTTGGTTCAAGCAGAACACAAAGTAATAGAAACTCGGAGACTGCATCTACCTGATGGGCCCAGCCCCAGTCATGGGCTGTCGAAGAGTTTTAAACAGCCTTTTGAGTAGTACGTTATGTATGAATATGTTGTTGCTTTTGACGGTTCGAAGATCTAGCGTCAATGGTTCCAACGCTACCCATACGGTCAGAGAAGACGTAATCAATGGTTCTTTTTTGACGACGCCAGTTCGCTTAGACATGCCTGCACTGATATACAACGGTCCCAGCAATATGCTGCACGGTATTGCGTTGTACCGTCGTTCGCCCAGCTCCCTTGCTCGACCCTCTGAAACCTGCCGTTTGTGACAATGTCTGCTATACTTTACGACATTAAGTTATATTATCCTCCGGCGAACTTGAAGCAACGGTGTTTCCCTCTCATTAGAACCAGTTACTTTGAGTTGTGTAGAATTTCTACCGCTAATGTTTGTTTGCAATCAACAATTTATGGAAACCACCAGTGTGGTCGTAGCAGACCTGCAAGCGCACTCGGTTCCTGAATGCTGTCCACCTGCTTGAAACTGCTGATTGCCCAAGTAACGGTTCCAAAGTTCCCATAGTTTGGGACCGCTTGGAGATCCAGAAGAAGGTCTGCTCGTGGTTTGCCGAGCTTGACCGTTAGCTTGCAAATTTTTCATCACAGATCAAAGATAGATCATCAGTGGGATCATCAGTGACACTTCATGCTGTCGGATGATTCACTGTCCTATAACAGGTCCTGCTGTCTGTGAGATTCTATAAAAGATTATTGGATGAGAATGAACCGGGGATGCTCAACTCTACGCCATTGGGAGCAGCCTTTGTATAAGAGCCCCCCATCACTGCAGCCTATTGATTGCAACCTTAGTAAATTAATCACTAAGTCCTTAATTCCAATTCCTTCCGCGAGAATTTGCATGTTAAAGAAACCAAGGGAAGCTGGATAATCTATTTATTTCTCCAATCCGCAGTTGGAACTGGCAGCCCCAGATATTGAGTAGGTTACACCTAAGGTAATACATGCAATCCCTATCATGTTACAATGCTATCGTTAAATGTTTCTGTTATTCTGTCCAACCTAAGTGGTCTCAAAAACATGCGTGCCAGTAGGAACATCGGATTGAGGGTGATGTGGTATACTCAATGGTTTTCGGGGAGATGATACTCTCCCGCGACGAATGACCTACGATTACTTCATGGGTTATGTTAGTTAGGACGTGTCACGTGTGCCTCGCAGAGCTTTTGCCCATTCTTTTGTTGAGTGGAAACAACCAGACGCTGGCAGACCTGGCTCATTCACGTAGTCAATAGTGCTCTTGCGTCAAAGCTATCTCTTTTAGTGATGAATTGTTCAGTATCCAGTTCTTTCAAGCGGTTATTTGAAGGAGCGGGACACTTAGCGGTTGCGCACTTAAGGCTAAGGTCAATTCAATACGAGCTAACCGTTAATCTGGCCTACTCAGCGCTTGGCTGTATCTCTTCTCTCTAGTTTTTCGTTGACAGGAACTGTAGCAACTGGAACCAATGCATCCTTTGTACTTTGTAGCTGTCTTACTGTTACCTTGAGTGAATCACACAGCTTTCAACATAACTAGTCACCACTGCCATATTGACGTCGCTGATGGTATTGATGTCCTACGGATTGACAGCAAATAATTTCAGATGCGTGACTAATTCTTGTTACTTAGTTTTGATATGAAACCCCATGTAGAAGAATGCTACCTCGATATTTCTTCTTTCGGAATGGGGAACGTATTGTTCCGCCCGGACACATGAACGAGTTAACTGGAGTGGTAGGTGAACTAGCTGATCGGCAACGGTTGACTTTTGGAGGTAGTGTCAATACTAAGTTTCTCAGGTCCCCTTCTAACTTGAGTTGGAAAGTACAGTTTTCTTGGGTAAACCATCTAAACCTGGTAAGCTTCGTCTGCCTTTCTACAAAGTCCCTCATTGCTTGTCACTCGCTTACGTATTACTTCATTATGGATATGATGCAGTCAGCTAACTCCTGAGACGATTGCAGACATATGAGGTCTTCCAATCGGAGAGTTCTCAGCCAGAAATTGAGACTGCTCTAATAATCGATTTTTCGATACTGTTCTGCCGTTTTACTGAATCCTTTTCCTGACACAGGTGTTTCAGGTTGTCGAATGAAACTCGTGTGCTATTGATGTGTGCTTTGATTTCAATGACCACTATGGGTTACGTAGGCGTCAAACTTCGTAGATCGACCAAATTCGATGGGGCAAGAATAATCTGGAGCACCACATTACACTTCGATCGCTTTGCATATTCTGTTTGGATTGGTTTTTGCATGATTGTTGGGCAACAAGGCAATCTGCGTAATCCACTTTCACTGGTCTCTTCGGCCATCATTTCGATGTGTGCAGTCGCGTTCCTTTGGAATTTGCGTCTTCTGATGATATCACTGAAAGACGGACAACCCTGGCGAGCCTCAATAGTGGTGGGAAAACCTTAGGATGGTACATTCTGGACCTCAACTTGACTGGAGGTGCGGAAGTAAAGGGCACGAAGTTTATTTACCGACTTCAAGGGCACAGATTAAGGATTCACCCTATCCACTTAATCAAAGGTTTGCTCAAAGTAGGTGTAAACCGTAATGGTTGGCCGGTGTTATGTATCTAGCTGCTCGAGCATTGGATGTGGTGAGGAAGTACAGTCAGTACATCCTCTGCGTGGTCAAAATCATACCTCATACCCTCTCGAACATGTCTCACGTTCCGAGCCAGTTTCCGCTTTACGACAAGTAAAGTCTTGGTCACCCTATTCACTGACGGCACAGTTATTCGTTACTCCGGGAGACATAATAAAGCGTCAAGATTGTGGTAATTGCCAACCACCTCAGAAACAGTTCTCTGAAGGAAGATCAGATCCCAATCGGGATGTAAAAACGGAATTCTCAGGCATTCTCTTTTGGTGGCTGAGCGAGTTCCATCTGTCGTTTGCACCTCGATTTTACCATCATTCATTGAAAACGGGCGCAAATGGGTGTGTGACAACTGTCATAACATCCGCCTAATCTACAAAGCAGCGACGACACCCGTGATACCTTCTCAACTGGTTTACAGAATGAACTCACCCAAGTCGCGGCCCAACCAAGACAGATTACCTGCTGGATGAAGATTTGCAGGCAAGATCCTCACTGTGCCTTACACTGGGACATTCTACAGTGGAGTATTCTACTGTCGAGTGTTTTATCGATTCCCGTGCCGCTTTCGAGTTGACCGTGCCCTATTATCGAATGTAATGATATAGCTCCACCCAAGGTCGTCGACTTGACCTGTTCACCAACCCTGCTGTCGACTGGATCTCGGGTTATACTCTCGAGGCTGACTCTCGGTTACGAAGACGTACAGCTTTTGTCAAGACACCGAATATACTGACAAAGTTATTCTACTGGTTGGCAGTTTAAAAAATCTATTAACATCATTTGGTTGGAGTAATCACCATACAGCCTTGATAGGTATGGGGCTAAAAACAACAGAAACAACGACGGTGCCCGCCACTTAATCGCTCTTCAAACCGGCGTCGCATTTCGTCGAACATCTATCAAATCTCTCCTTATATTCAAACATCAGTTGTTGAATTCTTTTCAACAGTTAAGTCACCGAAAAAATAAATGGCCGCATCGATAGCGCCAGAACCTCACTTCTCCGGTTAAAGCATGCCTCGTGGCTTGAAAGTCAGTTTTGCTTGATAAAAAAATTCTGATCTACCAAGTCCCCAATTGTCCTGTCGTTCTCTGTGAATGCGAGCTGTGGCCACTACGGTTCCAGAACATTTGAAAACCAAATGGCTTTGTACGTGTTTCACACCATCCATGCATTTGTGTGCAGCGATCGAAGTTCCTTAGTTCACATTCTAAAAACAGGCATATTTCCACTAATTTTTTGTGAGCTAATTTTTCTTCCTCTGAAGTTTAAACTGCCTATGTTGAGAGAAAGCCAAACGGGGAAACAGCTTTTTGTTGAAGTATTTCGTGCACTTTAGGGATTCCAAGGTTTTATTCAATCACCTTGTATGCATACTGGGAGAAGGAGACCGCTGAAGTTTAACTGCCTATGTTGAGAGAAAGCCAAACGCGGAAACAGCTTTTTGTTGAAGTATTTCGTGCACTTTAGGGATTCCAAGGTTTTTTTCAATCACCTTGTATGCATACTAGGAGAAGGAGACCGTCCCGGACAACTGGGGTGAATCGATAGTGGTACCCCTTTTCAAAAAGGGTACTCGCAGTGAATGTAGCAACCACAGAGGCGTTAGCTTGAAGCCTGTTGTGACAAGGCTTCTGGCATAATTGATTCTTCGTCGTCTCATGGCGGCACGCGAAGTCTTGACTCGTGAGAATCAAGC